ATAATGTGATGATGCAAAAATGACAAGGAAATTTTCACTTACCGGTCTACCTTCTCCCGGCGGACCGCGCATGCCCATGGGACCAGGTGGGCCCTAAACGTAAAAATAGTGAAAATAATGAGTCCTTAAAGGCGATTTGAACTCACCGGCAATCCCAGCGATCCTGGCTGTCCAGGAAGTCCAGGTCCTCCCGGTTCGCCTTTCTCTCCGGGTGGACCCGGAAGTCCTGGCGGACCTCGTGGACCCGGTACAGCTGCTCCACTCTGCGCAGGAACTTCGTATGTTTGACCCTGAAAGAAAATAAATCAATGAGTTTTGAAAAAATTATGTGATCAATAAACACGAGCCGCAACAACATAACAGCAAGCACCGGTTGTCCAGGTAGACCCGGAGGTCCGATCTCTCCCCTGTCGCCTTTTTCACCGGAATGTCCGGGAAGTCCTTGAGGTCCGCGTGATCCTGCAGGTCCAACTGGTCCAGGGGGTCCCTAGAAACAGGAAAAATATTCGCATTCATCTTTCAAATGAATTTCCTCTTACCTGTGGTCCAGGAGCACCTGGAGGTCCAGGATAGCCGTGCTTAATTCTCATTTCTCTCAATTCTTTTCTAAGTACAGGCATCAATTCATGAGCGAGAAGTTCCAAGTTTTGAGTGTCCAAGCCGCCAGAACAATTCTGGTGGCATACGCCCGGTTCGCCGTGTCTTCCCTAAAATTTGATGGTCCAGCGAGGAGCATAGGGTTAATTGCGTGAGGGAAAAACAAAATATTAGCAATGCGCTGTTCTAGATCACTCTTAAGAAGGAATTCTGAGTATAGAAAAAATGAATTAAAAACACTGCAATCAACTTAAAACCATTTAAAAAGGAAATTTTGTAGATATTACCCAGCAACATTCTTATTTTCTATATGATGCCACCGGTTAAAAAAAGCGAAATTGATCAATGGCATAGTTTTTAAGGGTGAATACGGGCAGATGTGGAATACGTCAGCAGACGCGCTACATTTAATCCACTTGGTCTACTCAATCACTTCATCCACTTTGCTATT